TTCAGGTGGGTGGTCGCCGTTTCGTCCGGGCGCCTTGGCCAGCTGACGCGGCGCTCTTCCCAGGGGCGGCTGTGGTCAGGGCGGCGGCGATCGTCTCTGTTGTGCTCAGGGTGGCGGTGATCGTCGTATCGGTGCGAGGAGCCCCCACCTCCGCTCCTGTCACGATCGCGGTCTCGGTCGCGGTCGCGCTCAGTGGCCCGCTCCCTGTCGCCGGTGTCCCTGGACGAGCGCCGTCCTGCTCTCATACCCGTCCCATTGTCCCGGCTCACCGCCCTTGCCGCGCCCGCGGCCGTACCCGTGCGGAGGACGGGGGTCGGGTGCGGTGCGCCCAGCCCCGGCTGTCACAGTCCGGTGGGGTGTGCGCGGAGCGCGGGTGTGGGTGTCGGCCGCCGCTGGCGCGTCCTGCGCCGGAGTCTCGCCGGTGGAGCGGGCCTGGCGCTGCGTGTCAGGGCCACGGTCAGGGCTGTTTCGCCGAACCCTCGGGGGCCCGTGTCAAAGTGGACCTGCCGATGGGCTCCAGGGTCTGGGGAGGGTGAGACCGAGTGGACTGCGCCTGCGGCCTCTGCCAGCCGCTGTGCCTGGGCCTCGTCCTGGTCCTTGGAGCTGTAGTCAGGGATCTCCTCCTTGGTGTCGTCGCCCAGCGGTTGCTCCTGTGCGGTGCCCTCTGCGACCGGCGCCGAGCCAGGAACTGGCTGGGGCCGCTGCCGCCGGTGGCGCCTGCGCTGGGTCGGGGGCCTCCTCGAGGAAGTCGGCAGCGCGGCCCGCCGCTTTGCCGCGAAGGATCTCGGCGCGCAGCGTCTTGGTCCCGGCACTCCAGATCTCGAGCCACTCGTCGCCTACTTGGGCGACCAGGAAGCGGTGCACGCCCTCCGTGCGGATTTGGGCGTTGAGGATCGGGCTGAAGACCGCCCCGTCCAGGGGATGCGGGGACAGGGGATCGGTGCTTTGCGCCTGTGCAAACCACCTGGGCCGGGCGTCGGTGAGGTCGCTCCGGATGACCACGTAGTCGCCGTGCTCGATGTCTGGGTTCTCGGTCATGATCTGGCGAGTTGGGGTCCAGAGGGGTGTGTCCGAGACTCGTCCTGGCCGTCGGTTGTAGTCGCGTCGCACGCGCTCCTGGGCGGACCCAGGGGTTGCGACCGCGGCCGGCGGGGCCCCCGGGGACTTGGTCGCCGTGGGGCGCGTCCTGGGCGGGTGTGAGGCTGGTTCGCTGTCACCCGGCGTCGGCGGTGGCGACTCCGCCGCTGTCTGTGGGGTGGCTGCAGGGTCCTTGCGCTGCTCGGGAGCGCGCGTGGCGCAGAGAGGCTGCGAAGGCAGGGTCCTGGGCCGGTAGTAGGTGAGCAACCCCTTGCCCGGGGCCTTGACGTCGGCGGCCGCCACGACTGCCTCCAGCACCGGTCGCGGGTAGGCCAGGGGCGAGGGGCCGAACCTCATCCGGTTGGCGCGGACGTGCTGATCCCAGCGCGCTCCCAGATCGCCGCCCCCGTTGACCGCATCCACCGTCAGGAAGCTGACCAGCTGCACGAGGGCGGCGCGGTCGTCGCCCCATTGTCCCTGCGGGAAGAAGGTGTCAGGGACGGACTCTCCGTAGACCAGGCCCAGGAACCCGTTGCAGGCCTCAGCGTCCCAACTGCTCGGGTCCAGGCTCTGCGCCCGCGAGCGCCCCGTCTCGGAGGCCCTCTGCACGGCCCAGGTGGTCCACTGGCCCGTGGTGTTGGGAGGCCAGGGTGATGTAGTGCCGTATGGCCTCATGATGCAAGCAGCCCTGGGCGACCATGTCGCGATCGGAAGTGAACCCCGCAATGGAGCGGTCCGTCGGCTCGGGGCCGTTCGGCGGGCCCACGGCCGGGAGCTTCAGGCTCTGGACGCGGGCCCTGGCGTCTTCAGGGTCGACAGCGGCCTGCTTCGCGACGTGCTCGTGGAGCCGGCTGGGGACAGGGTGCAGGCCGGGGGCCACCGCCTCCCGTGGCAGGTACGGGCAGGCCTCCATCGCCTGCTGGCCCAGGTGCACGACGCAGGCTAGTAGCTGCTGTCCGCTTTCGGTTCTCGAGAGGGCGCCGCGGCCGTCATTTTGCAGGCTTGCGCCCGCCAGGTTTGGGCCCGGCGTCGTTTTCATTACCACGAAAGGGGCTCTGTCCATCCCCGACAAGCCCTCTCCCCATACATCCGCCGATGTGCCTTTTAAAGCATTGACTAGCCGCGGCCCCAGAGGTCCCGACAGCCCCCGAGGGCCGAAATCGGGGAAAGGCCGGCGGCGTGAACACAATCCTATTGTCGGAGATCTGGGTTTTCGCCCCCTGGGGTCAGTCCTGGCGGTACCTTCCCGAACCCGGCGGCGCGCTGAGGGGGGCCAGGAGGGGAAAACACACACACACACATCGTCGATTCCATTCTGAAAATATGGGGAAGTATGGGAAGTTTAGGGGAAGACAAAAACACAGGAAACATGGGAAAATATGGGGAATCCTGTTATTTGTGTATATTTACTGATGTGTCCCAGGGCCCCTTAACAGGGAGGTGAGAAGGGGCAGGCTTTCTCCGCATGCGGCGGGGCTTCTCGGAGGCCCTCCAGCCTGCTCAGAAGCCCTCCCTGTCTTCGGAGAGAGCACAGAAAGCTCCGGAGAACGTTCGTCCCCTTTCAGAGACTGTTTCTAGGGTCCGGCGATAACCCGGGTTATCGGGCTTGCCCCCCCCCCCCCCTCAGGATAACCTGGCCTCGCCGGTTGTGCAAGTCTGGGGTGGGGGGGCGCGGGTATTTGCAGGGCTGCCCACAGCGCGAAGGTTAGGTTATCGGCCGGCCACCTCCCCCCCCCGGATAACCCAGGTTACAGGGCTCGTTTTGATTCCTCCGATTCGATTCGACTTCGATTGCTTCCGATTCCAATTCGATCCGACTTGTGATTCCGATTTGGGCTCCGATTTCTTATCGGAGGCATATTAGCCTGCCGATCTCCGCCGATTCGACTTTTCCCGACTCGGCTGCCGATTTCCGCCGATCCGATTCATCTCGATCACCGCTCCGACTTATCAATTCGATTCTGGGCTCTTCTGGGTTATCGCCGATCCACAAAATGTCTCTTACCAGCATGAACCATAGCCCTACACCTATGATTGCCATCACTGTATCTCTCGGTGCCGATCTCGCGGATCCCTTGAGATTCTGCGAGCACGTCCCTGAGGTTGCCGCCGCCCTGGGCTTGCCAATCTTAGGGATCGGTGATAGGTATAAGTTCGAAGCTGGTCACCCTCTGCCTTCCCCCTGGAGACCGCTTTCTCTTCCATTGGCGATAGCGGGCGTGACCGGGGGGGAGGGGGTCGGTCTTCTCACGATTCGCGCTAATCGGGAGCTTTGAGACGGGTGTTAATGCTCACGGGGGTCAGCTAAAGCGCCAGATCGTGCAGGATCCTGCAGAGCCAGGGGTGCACTGACCCGGGCTAGGGCGCAGGATCCTGCAGGATCTCGCAGGATCTTGCAGGGCCTGACTGACCCGGGTTTGCATTGACCCGGGTAGGTGCGCCCCCGAGCCAGCGCCGTTTGGGAGTGCTTGGAAATTGCAACTTCGCACACGGCGCCGGCGCGAGACGTTACGTGACCAGGGTGAGGCCCGATTTTCTCCGCGCCCGACGTCGCCGACGCATCGGCGACGCGACGCGATCTTCCGACCCCATTTCGTCGGACTCCATGTGAGCGACGCAAACATACGAGGTCGATTTCGCCGACAATCGCGCGTAAGTTTCCCGGGCAATGTCGCGCGTAAAAAGCCCTCGTTTCCAGTGTGGCATGCTGCGCTGGCAGCTCGCGTAAGCCACCGCGTAAGGTCGCTATGGCATCTTGCGTGAGACCCGTTTGTTTTCGTTGTTCATGTAGGGGGGCTTCTAATGTGAGCCAGAAATAAGTAGCCAAAGGCCAACCCCTCCCCGTCCCCTCCTAGGGCGGGGAACAGCGCTCCCGGCGGCGAAAGATTTGTGGTTCTTCCTCACAATGGGTGGTCGTCGTTGTCTGTCGCCGTCGTCGGCGTCGGCCGTCGTCGTTTGTCGTTGTCGGTTTGCCGTCGCGCTATTCTTCGCCCAAGCGTCGCCGGCGATCTTGGGCCGCCGAAGCATTCTCGTTATTTGATTGTCTCGGGGCCTGGCGAGGGCCCCCAGAGCGCAGGCCTAGAGGTTGACACCAACACCAATATCGGCGGTGTTCCTCCACCGAGAGAAGAAGATTCCGATCTCGGTGATGGTGGTAATACTCTGGCTTCTAAGGCGACCGAAATATTACCACCAACACCGAATTCTAGGATCATCTTCCCCTTGTGGAGGCAGCCCCCTGTCTTGGTGTTGGTGCCCATTTCCAGGCATCCAGCCAGGGGCCGAACATGCTGAAACACCGCCCGCCCTGACCTTTTTACGCCGCGATCCTTCCTGGGCACCAGTCCTCTGGTCTGAAGTCCGGCCTGTCCCTCTACAGGAGGGATATTCCAAAATAGTAAAAAAAGAGTCCAGGGACGATTTCTGACAATGTGTTTAAGCATTGGGGGGGGATATCTTGAGGATGTTTGCTTTCCCGTCGCCCCAGAATCCCCCTGTAGGGGGACAGGCCCAACCCAACGCTGGTCCTCCCCGGAGGCAGCGCGGGGCACCGCCCCCTCCCCGCGGGAGGGGGGCTCCAGGACGGAAGTTTCAGGTTTGTGCGGCCCCGCGCGCGTGGCTTGTTCGGCCATGTGCATCCTGCCAGTCTTGCCGACGATGGAACTGCGACGTCGGGATATTATTCGGGGCCATCCGCGGGCTCTGCCGGCTACATATGCATACGTGGGCGCTGTGAGGCAGGGTGGGTGTCGAGATTTAGCTCCCTGTTCCCCGCGGGAGGCCTCCACGACGGCCTCCGCGAAGGCCTTCGACGGCCTCCGCAAGGGCCCTCCGACGGGCCCCCCCGTGGATGCCTCCCGCGGGGGCCCCCCGCGGTGGCCTCCCGCGGGGGCCCCGCCGGGGGCGGCTTGGGGCGCGGCCAGGGCCACGCCGAGCGGGTGCTGGCCGCCGGCGCCCCGTGCCCGGCGCCCCTGCTGGTGGACGCCGGGCACGAGGCAGGACTCCTCCTCCTCCTCCTCCTCCTCGTCCTCCTCCTCCTCGTCGTCCTGGTCCTCCTCGTCGTCCTCGTCCTCCTCGTCCTCCTCCTCCTCCTCCTCCTCCTGCTCCTCCTCCTCCTCCTCCTCCTCCTCCTCCTCCTCCTCCTCCTCCTCCTCCAGGTGGCTCCGCAGCGAGGCCCCGCGCGAGCCGTTTGCCCCGAGGCGGGGCGCACGCGGGCCCGCGCCATCGGGGCCCCCAGCGCCAGGCGGCGCGTCCAGAGGTGGAGGAGGCAGCGCGGCCGCCGCCAGGACGGCGCTGCGCGAGCGCTCGCCCGCCTGGCACAGGCGAGAGCGCAGAGCGCGCGCGGAGGCGCGCAGAGAGCTCAAGGCGAGGCTGCAAACAGAGTTGCTGGAGAGGCACCACGGCAGCACTCCGCCGACGACAGCAGGAATGGGCCGCTCGGCCGAGTACACCGTCTGCAAGTCGTGCGGATAATGGTGGTGGAACACCAAGTTAGAGAGCATGGAGTACCGCTGCAGCTCCTGCCACAAGATGCTGCCGAAACCAAGAGAAGCCAAGGCCGCGCAGGTGGAGGCGACACGCAAAGGCGGCGGCACAGGTGGCGGGAAGGCGGGCGGCAAGGGCAAGGGCCCAGAGCAGCTGGCCCAGGCACTCCAGCTGATCACCGCCTCCCTCGGACAGCTGCAGATCGAGGGAAGCGCGACGATCACCAAGCAGATCGAGGTGGCAGCCACGGCTCTGCAGGCGGCGAAGCCGACTTCGCCGCCCAGGCCGGGGGCCGAGAGGATGGCCGCTGCAGCGCGCGCGCTGCAGGCGGCGCAGAGGCAGTACTCCCTGGCGTTCGCGGCGAAGCAGAAGGCAGAGGAGGAGGAGCGCAAGGCAAGAGAGCTGCTCGAGGAGAGAGCAGCAGCAGTGCTACAAGCAGGGGCGGAGTGCGACGCGATCCACAATGAGGGCAAGCAGGGGCCCTTGTCGGGCATCATCGAGCAGCTCGTGACAGGGCCAGCTCGACGAGTTGACCGAAGGGCAGTTGACTCGACGGGCCAGCGAACATTAGCAAGGAGTTCGCTCTAGCTGACGACGGCATGGACAAAGAAGCCAAGCGACAGATTGAGGAGGCCAAGGCCCAGGTCGTGAAGCAGATGCAGGAGAACGCCAAGCAGTTTCAAGGCCACTTGCGAGAGCATCTCGCGAAGGCCAAGGAGGCGGCGCTGGAGTAGCGGAAGGTCATTCAGCAGGAGGCAGGAGGCAAAGAAGAGGAAGCTGGCATCAGGAGAGCCCTCAGCCCCCAAGGCGACAGCAAAGGCGGCGGACCCCCCAGCGGCAGCGGCGGCAGCAGGAGGCAGCGCCACCGCCAGCGCCAGCGAGGCCGAGGCATACCTGGCCAGCAGGCGCGCCGCGCAGGGCGCAGCGGGGGCAGGCAGCCCCCCGCAGCACCAGGGGCGTGCGCGAGGGCGACGGCGGCAGGATGTTGGCGACGCCGCCGCCCGCGAGCGCACGCCCCTCTGCGCCAACATCTCAACGTGGGGTCCTGCATCGAGGCTGTGGCTGATGCAACAGGGCATCGGGGGCAAGGGGTTCGACATGATGACACTGCAGGAGATGCACGTCCCTCGTGCCGAGATCGAGGACGCGGAGCTGGACTTGTGCAAGATGGTATACAGGGCCACATGCACCGCGGCCAGAGATAGCACACGCTCGTAGAAAGGACGCTGCGGGGGAACAGCAGTGATCCCCAAGGGGCACCTGCGCGTCACCAGCTTCAGGCACATGGCAAGAGCTCGGCAGGTCTCGAATGCCACAGCTGACATTCGACGAGGCGCTGATCGAGCAGAGGGTTTTGACATGTGTGACGGGACTCCAGTCACTTGGCACCTGAAGGGAACGACGCTCACAGTCATCCGCCTCTACCTGGACTGCAACAAGTCGCTGGTGGAGGGCGTCAACAGCCGCAAGCTCACAGCCTTGGCCGCGTTCATCAAGACGCTGCAAGGGGCGTGGGTGGTCTGTGGCGACTTCAACACCGACCCGAAGACTTTCTGGGAGACGGGCTAGCCGAAGGCGATGGGAGCGAGTGCAATCATCTCACTGCCAGAAGACCAGCACACCTGCTTCCTCGCGGATCAGGAGCCCTCCCACACCGACTACGCGACGAGCAGCGAGACAGGCAGCAAGCTGATCGCAGGAGCCGAGGGCGTCTACGACGCACCGTGGAAGCCACACATCGGGCTGAAGTTCACCATCCGAGGGCAAGGACTACATACCCAGTGCAGAACGCTGAGCCTGCCGAAGGCGTTCCCGCACCCACCGAGGAAGGGCAAGGCGCCCAACCCAGCAAGCAAGAGGACGAAGAGGAGGCTGCAGGCCAAGGCCATGGAGGAGGCCAAGGCAAGCGCTGCAGGCACGCAGACAGTGTAAGGTAGAGGCCAGACCACCGAGCTCCTGGACGACGAGCGCTGGGAGGCGCTCACACCCGTGGCAGGCTGGGCCAGCTTCCCGACCGCCGAGACCGTGGAGGTCGGCCAGGTCGACGCGCCCAGGCCCCCGTCCCAACCTTGCCCCCCCTGCACCGTCGGCCTGGACTCTCTGGGCGGGCACGGGGGACCTGGAAGAGACGGCCCAGAGGCCCGCGTGTTCGGCGAGTACAGACACCAGACGGATGACGACGAGGTCGACGTGTTCGCCGACCTGGACCATGAGGAGGAGGTCGAGGCGACCAGGATGTGCGACGAGCACGTCCAGGACCTGGTGCTGAACTACACGCGGCAGGGGCGTCAGAACGCAAATCCCACAACGGTGCTCCTCGAGCCGTTTGTGGGTTCAACGTCGCTTGGAAGTTTTGCTAACATTGGCGGAAGAGACCCCAGCCCAAACCAGCGCCAGAGCGCAAGCCCCGCTTCGGCGCTCCACGAGCCGACAGGGGGCAGGTCGTCACATCACAGCACACGCAGTCACCAGATGGACGACGACGAGGTCGACGTGGTCGCCAACCTGGACTCCGAGGCCGAGGCCGAAGCGAGCAGGATGTGCTACGAGATCGGGCAGGACGTGGAGCTAAAGTACATGCAGCAGGGGCGTCAGAACGCAAATCCCACAACGGTGCTCCTCGAGCCGTCTGTGGGTTCAACGTCGCCAGGTGGATTCGCTAATGCCGGAGCACGTGTTCCCAGCCCAAGCAGGCGTCAGATCGCAAGTCCCGCCTCGGCGCTCCTCGAGCCGACGGTGGGCAGGTCGTCGCCACCCAGCACAGGCAGCGCCGACAGGCGTCAGAGCTCGGATCCTACTACGCCAGAGCCGTTGGAGGGCTCGCCGTCGCCAGGGCACGCAGACAAGCCGTACCAGGACACGACAACCATGAGACCTCTGGACCATGATGGAGATGGCAGCGGAGACACCACTGGAGGTTGGGGTACCTGAGTACATCGCCAAGTGCGCCGCTTCCAAGGCGACCGCTGACTCTGCCATCGACCTCAGCCAAAGCTTCGCAGCCACCATGAACACGATGGAGCACTTCTACTGCATGGCCTACCACATCGACCCACAGGATCGAGCGAAGTACTGCGGCAGAGGAGACCCGAGAAGATTCACCATGTGTTTAGGTGAAGACAAGCATGAGAGAAGAGAGAAGTACGCCAACCGCAGAGCCGACTGGCGGAGCAGAGCCGAGAACACCCTGTCGTCGTTGGCGAGGCTGCGGCGGCGCAACAAGGACGTGCGGCAGCGTCTCCACTTGGAGGCCACGGGCAGGCACCTAGCTTACGACGGCCTTCCGAACACGAGCGAGAAGGCATCGGACACGGCCAAGCTACACAGAGATATCTGGAGGACACGATTGGCGGACTTGAGCAAAGTCGACACCGACGTGATACAGGGCATGGCAATGCAGGCAGGGGGCGAAAAAAGACATGCACCCAGGTGGGACTTCAGGGACATGCACTCAGGAGGGCCTTCGGGCAGTGGCTTGCGCTGGCGGGGAAAGACCCTGGAGTCCTTCACCGAATAACAAAGCCGCCGCCGAGGAGAGAGGAAGAGGTCGTCACCGAGGACGGGGTGCTCGACTGCCCCACCAAGATCGTGGACGAGAAAGCCAAGTCGTTCCACAACATCTGGAAGTGCGACAGGATGAAGCACGAGCAGCACACCGAGGTCCTACAGCGGCTACGTGAGCGCGCCAAGGACGAGCAGGCCGCTGAGTGGTCGCCCGAGCACTTGGACGAGGCGCTCAGAGGCGAGCCAGACAAGGGCAAGGGCATAGACATGCTTGTGTGCACAGACACCCGCAGGCTGCCTCAGGAGGGCCGCCAGGGAATCGTCGAGCTCTTCAACGAGTGCGAGCACGCGCTCGCATGGCCGTGGCAGCTGCTGTGCGAGATCCTGATGTTGGCCCCCAAGCCCGCGAAGGGCGACAGGGCCCCTAGCCTTGCTCCCGCAGGTGGTGCGCTGCTGCGAGCTGCTGCACAGGCCTGAGGTGAGGAGATGGGCCAAGCAGCAGGAGCGGGAATGGGACGCGGCAGTCGCAGACAACAGCTGCCTGCGCGAGGCGATGCGGAGAGTGATATGCGCCGAGTGCTGCGACGCGCTGAAGCTCTTCCATGGCAGCCTGCTTGCGGACATCGAGAAGTTGTACGGCAGCCTCCAGCTCGACTGCGTCATCGAGGCTGGCCTGCGGATGGACTTCCGCCCCCGCCAGCTGGCGATGCTGCTGCAGCACGCGGCGACAAGGGTGATGCGCTGGAAAGGAGCTTACTCGACGCCGACCTGGGCAGACAGATCGTTGCTGGCAGGACCGAGTCACTCTAGCAACCTGGCCAAGACGGTGGTCTACTCCATCCTCGGGAGGTTGCTAGAGGCCTCGCAGGCGCTACCCAAGCCGATGCCGAGGGCCTGGTTCGACGACATCAGCATCCGCATCATGGGCAGCGCAGATGCAGTCGAGAAGGGGCTAGCGGCAGTCACAGAGGGGCTCCGAGACGGACTCCTGGGCCAAGGACTCGTTGGCGGACAAGACGGTTATCTTCAGCTCCAGCTTCCACACCACCAAGAGGGTTCAGAAGGCGCTGCGAGTGAAGAGCATCTCGGCCCAGGCCGTCACTGAGGGCAGGGGCCTAGGCATCGACAGAGGCGCGAAGGGGACATTGAGGAGGGCCACACACAGGAAGAGGACGCAGAGCGCGTTTACTCGTTGTGGCGCAGTGGGCCTGAAGCTGAGGAGACTGCTGAGAAGGAGGAGAGGCGCACTCCACCAAGGCGCAGTCGCATCCTTCATGTACGGCACGACGGTACACGGCATGGCCCCGTGGGCGAGGCAGAAGGCGCGGCGCAGGTATGCGCAGGCGCTGAGGCGCCCGTGGCCAGGCAGGTGCATCACCGCGTTCCTGGCGCTGGAGGGGGCAGACCCCGCGATCACGTCGGTGAGGGCACAGCTGAAGACTTGTTTCGAGGTCTGGGCCAGGAGCCCCGACATCAGTGAGCAGGTCAAGCGTGCGTGGCCGAGGATCTACTTCCAGCTGCTGAAGCTCAGAGCGGAGAAGAGGTGGCAAGCTCGAAAGGGGCCGCTCGCCAGCCTCATCTTCCTGCTGTGGGATGTGGGCTGGGACTCCAGAGGGCCAGACATCTGGGTCGACAGGAATGGCCACTACTGGAAGTTCAGCACTGAGGACCAGGGCGGCGACTACACGGAGATAGTGGACGCGCTCATGCAGGACATCCAGGATCAGCTGTGGGACAGAGCCGCACAGCACCACAACGGAGGAGGGCTACAACACGGCGCAGACGTGACAGACCTCGAGAAGCACCTCGGGAAGCTCGCGAAGAAGGAGCACCACGGCACCTACGGCGCGCTCCTCACAGCGGCGTGCGCAGGCACCTGGACACGAAGACGGAAGCACGATACCTTCGGCGGCGAGGAGGTCATGTGCGAATGCGGGAGGCCCGAGGACGACGAGCACAGAAAGAGCGTGTTCTACCGCTGCTGGCGGAAAACGGGAGGGGGTCACTACAAGTTCGAACCCTTCCCCCCCCCCCTCCGGAAAACCTGGGGGGGTCACTGCCGGTTCGAACCCCTCCCCCCCCCCCAGCTCATCATGAAAAGGGGGGGGGGGTCGCTACCGTTTCGAACCCCCCCCCGCACCTCGAAAACCGAGTGGGGGTGCGGACAGTGGTGGGGGCGGTGTTGGTGGGGACAGTGGTGAGGGGACAGCGGGACAGTGGTGGGGACAGCGGGGGGACAGTGGGACAGTGGTGGGGACGGTAGTGGTGGGGGCAGTGGTGGGGGCAATGGTGGGAACAGGGGGGACAGTGGACAGTGGTGGGAACGGTGGTGGTGGGGACAGTGGTGTGGGGACAGTGGGAATGAGGTGGAAACACTGGGACAGTGGAGGGTACAATGGTGGTGGGGACACTGGTAAAGGCGGTGGCGAGGACGGCGGTGGGACAATGGGACAGAGGTACAGTGGGGACAGTGGTGGGGACAGTGGGGACAGTGGTGGAAACAGTGGGACAGCTCAGTGGGACAGCGGAGGAGTCAGTGGGACAGTGGGGACAGTGGGGATAGGCAGTGGTTGGGTCCGTGGAGACAGTGGGGAGAGTGGAACCGTGGTGGGAACAGTTGTGGGAACAGTGGGGACAGTGCGACAGTGGTGGGGGCATTGGTGGGGACAATAGGGACGGTGGTGGAACCAGTGGGGACAGTGGTGGTGAGGACAGTGGTGCTGGGAACAACAGTGGGGGATGTGATGCGGAGCGGTGGTAGGGACCGGGTGACCCCCCCCCCGTTTTCGAAGGGGGGGGGGGGGGAAGGAGGGGTTAGGGGGGGGGGGGTTTGCCGGAGGGAGGGGGGGGGGGGTGGGGGGGGGGGGAGTGGTTCCAGCAGGGGGGGGGGATGGGGGGGGGGCCGGGTTTCCGGAGGAAAAGGTTGGCAATTTTCCGCAGTAAAGCGGCGGTGGATCACGCTCTCTCCGATCACAGGATCTGGGGCGATTGCAGCGCCAGGCAAGACTGCGAGACCATCCGCAAGACCGAGGGCCTGACGAGAAGGGCGCACGTCGGAGCCAAGGAGAAACCTGCGTTCTGGCTGAGAGGCATCGCGCCGAAGAAGTGGTCCACGCCCCCGAAGTGCGACACCGAGCACATCGAGCACACCACGGGCGCCTGCATCACCCCCGACTGGTTGCGCGCAAGGGAAGGAGGCGAGCTCACGGGCTGCGGTGACGGCTCAGGAGGCGAGTACAGCGCTGATGAGGGGCATTGCAGGTGCGGCTGGGGCTGGGTGCTACTACTCGAAGGTGAAGATACCGACGGGATAGCGGGCGCCCGTTTCGGCCCGCTGCCAGGACCAAGACAGACCAACCATAAAGCGGAGCTCTTCAGCCTGATCAGCTTGGTCAACTCGACAGAAGGCAAGGTCAGCTTCTGGACGGACAGCGAGGTCACGTGCACTGGCCGGGCTGCAATGCGCGAGGAGACCAATGGGGCTCGGCTGCATCAACGGCGACCTGTGGGACCAGCTCGGAGAAGCGATACGCAAGAGAGGTGGCGACCGCAGTGACATCAGCGTGTGCCACCTCAACAGCCACATGACGGAGCTGGAGGCCAGAGAGAAGGGCATCCCACGGCGGGTCTCGGCAGGCAACAAAGCGGCAGACGAGTACGCAGCGGCAGGCGCCAAGACCCACGCGATCAGCGACGTCGAGATGAGCTGCTACGAGTGGGTGAGGGCGACGGCACACTTGGTCAGGCAGAGGATCGCAGCCACCACGAAGGACGCACTCGCCAGACGGCCGCCAGTGGAAAAGGAGATGCGTTAGGCACGGAGAGCCCAGGCCAAGCGGAGGAGGCAGGAGACGCTAAGGAAGAGGGACCTCATTGGCGACAACCCCCAGCGAAGGCCCACTTCGCAGCATGTCCTGAAGCGGGACCGTCGAAGCACAGGCTGGACATGCCTATGCTGTTGGGAGTCGGTCAGCAGCACTACCACGGCAAAGAACATCCACGAATGGCTGACGAGGACCTGCAGCGGACCCCCGCCTCCGACGGCACTCGCCGTCACGAAGCACGGAGTCGAGTCGCACCACACGCGCAAGCTGAGGAGGATCAGGAGGCACAACCGATGGTTCTGCGAGAACTGCGGAGGAGCCACCACGGAGCTGATCGCCAAGAAGCTGCAGGAGCCCTGCTGTGGACACACGGCGTGTGCCAGCGGACACAACAGGCCCCAGTGTTGGCTGAAGCAAGCGGGGCGCGAGGGAGGCACTTGCGCCGTGCCCGCCGAGGAGTCCACGGAGGAGGAGCCCCAAGCGGAAGAGCTGGAGGAGGCCAGCATCAGCCAGAGCACGGAGGTCGACGCGGCGGGGGGAACAAGTGGTGTTTCCTGGCGAAATAAACAGGAAGAGCCACCCCGTCGCCTGCGGGTGAAGTGCCGAGGCGACATCCCTGGCGTAGAGGCAAAATCAGAGGCAGGCGAGCCAGGTCCCCCCCCCCCCCCCCCCCCCTCCCCACCTCTGAGCGCCCCAGGTGTGGCCAGGGGCCCCGCGTGGCGGGATAATGGGTGGAAGGCAGAGTTGGCCAGGCGCAGGGCGGAGAAGGAGGAGCCTGCAGCGAAAGCGCGAAGCGCCAAGGCGGCAAATCAGCAGGAGGCAGCCAGCGGCAGCCAGATCACGGAGTCCGAGGCGGCGGGGGGGCCAAGCGGCGCTTCCTGGCGAAATAAGCAGGAAGAGCCACCCCGCCGCCAGCGAGTGAGGCGCCGCGGTGACATCGCTGGCGCAGAGGCAGAGGCAGAGGCAGGCGAGCCAGGCCCCCCCCCCCCCCCCCACCTCTGAGCGCCCCAGGCGTGGACAGGGGCCCCGCGAAGCGGGATATTGGGGAGAGGGCCGAGCTGGCCAGGCGCAGGGCGGTGACAGTGAGGAGACCTGGAAGGTCGGAGAGCGAACGACGCAGAGATGAAGAACCAGCGGTGAGGAGGCTTCTGGGTGCGGCCGCCGCCGCCGCTCCAGCACCGACGCCAGCGCCGACCCCAGCGCACCCAGCAGCCGCAGACGCCACAGCAGAGGAAGAGGCAGCGCAACGCGAGGCCTCGCAAGCGCTGCTGGAGGCTGAGAGGAGGAGAGCTGCTCGCCCGCCGCCCGAGGCCAGGCCAACCAGAGCGGCAGCCGTTGGCCCGCCCCTGGCGCTGGGCGAGCTTCGGCGGCTGCTGGACGGAGGCGGAGGCGAACGGCTTGCAGGGCGGGGCCACAGGGCCGCGCGACGAGGAGCTGATGGCAGAAGATGTGGTCTTCCCCGCCCTGCAGCACAAGGACAAAGCTGCGGAGCCGCCGGGGACGGCCGAGCGGCGCTGGGGGCAGCGTTGGCCCGCGCGCGCGCTGACAGCACGCCTGCGCGGGCGAGCCGCGACGTGGCGGCTCGAAAGAGCTCGGAAAGAGCTCCTCCTCCTCCTCCTCGTCCTCCCCTTCCTCCTCCTCCTCCTCCTCCTCCTCCTCCTCCTCCTCCTCCTCCTCCTCGTCCTCGTCCTCGTCCTCCCCCTCCTCCTCCTCATCGTTCTCCCCCCCTCCTCCTCCTCCTCCTCCTCGTCATCCTCCTCCGCCTCCCCCTCCTCATCTTCCTCCTCCTCCTCCTCCTCCTCGTCCTCCTCCTCGTCCTCCTCCTCGCCCTCCTCCATCCTCATCTTCCT